GGGGATCCCGCTCCGTGTGCGACGTGCAGGCAGTGTAGCCCCTCCGCTCCCTCTCTCCGCTCCGCGTCACCGTTTCCGCCCTCCAACCCTTGCCCTCCCCTCCTCTGCAGGCCTGCGGCAACTGTATGCGGGCTATAGTACTAGAGCTAACTCGATACATACTCAGCCCGGTCTGCCAGATCGACCTGCACTGTCATAATTTTTTGTAGCAATGACACACACACGCAGCCGCACGCGCGCCGCGCACGCACGCACGCACGCGCCACACATACACACACACACGCACACACACATACACACACACACGCACACACACACACACACACACACACACACACACACATGCAATACACACACACACATACACACACACGCACGCACGCACGCAACGGCACGCACGCACGCACACAGCACCACGACATACAAACACACAACACACACACACACACACACACACACACACACACACACACATACACACACACACACACACACACACCACACACACACACACACACACTCACACACACACACACACACGCGCGCGCACGCGACCCACGCGCACGCGCACGCACCGGCGCACACACACACACACACAGCACACACACACACAGACACACTCACACACACACACACACGCTCACACGCACACGCACACACACGCGCGCGCGCACGCACGCACGCACACGCGCACCGGCACACGCGCACGCACGCACACACAGACAAACACACCAACACACACACACACAACACACACACACACACATGCACACGCACACGCGCACGCGCACGCACGCACGCACGCGCGCACACACACACACACACACACATACATACACACACCGCGCGCGCACACATAACACACACCACACACACACACACACACACACACACACATACACACACGCACACGCACACGCACAACACACCGCGCGCGCGCACGCACGCACTCGCGCACGGCCACGAGGACGCGCAACACGCGCACACGCGCACTGTGGGCGGGACAACACACACGCGCACGCAGACACGCACGCACGCACGCACGCACGCCCACACGCACGCACACACCCACACCCACACCCACACCCACACACACACACGCGCGCGCGCACGAGGATGACCTCCCATCACTCCACATAGCCGACGTAGATATCGTCCGTTAGAAGGGCAAGTGGGCGGATATAGATCCCAAAGACCTTCCCAAGAGTGCTTCACAGGCCTTGGCAGAGTGCGATCGAGACTTTTACCCAAACGTCCACACATTGCTGCATGCGTCTCATGTGCACGTTACCTATTACAACTGCAGAGTGTGAGCGCTCTTTCAGTTCCTTGCGTCGGCTCAAGACGTACCTAAGAGCGACCATGTCTAGTGAGCGGGAGTCTGGACTAGCATTGCTAAACATTCGATCACTACAGCAAGCCCATTGATGTCGAAGAAACAATAGATATCTTTGCAAGAAAACAGCCAAGGCGTCTTCTCTTTTCTGATATCATTGCTTAAATAAATCATTAATCATTAATTAATTATTAATTAATTAATTAATTAATTAATCATTAATCATTAAAATAAATCATTAATTGGGCGCGGACGGTGATAGTATAAAATCGAACGTGCAGCTAGTAAACAAAAGACAACGAAAAGAGCAGTTAACGGATTGTGGCAAATTCTGTAAATTTATTGCTCTAAGAAACGCATGGTTTGTATCAAAATAGCATCTGATACAGTATGTAATTAAAAGCATGAAACGAAAATTGTGAAAAGTTTTATTAGTATATGTGTGTTGAGTTTGGAATCCCCCCTCTTGGAAAGGCTGGCTACGCCCCTGCGTGTGTGTAGATGTACATATATATATAGTAAATTCAATTTTCCCCGCAATCGTTATCGAAATATTAAGCCGAATACACTATGTATGCAGCTCACCTTTTAGCTCTAGAACTATAGCCCTCCGCTCCGCCGCAGGAGCTGAGGGCTATAGTTCTAGAGCTATTCACTCTTAGGATTACCAAAGTACTCTTAGTATATACCATAGATACATATTATCAGGAGTAGATAATAGGGAAGGAGTGTGACATCAATAAACAAGGGAAATTCGTCATTGACTAGCCTTATAATACCTACGATTTACTACGCGTAACTCATCCAACTTGAGCTCAAATCGGACACAGTACATTCGCCTAGCATCATGCGAAATCGTTTCCTCGTATACGCGGCTACGTGGCGATGCGGTTATACGCGTTTATAATTGTTAAATTACTGTAGTAACTGCAATATTTCATATCCTAAGTAGAACCTTATGACGATAATGGTACCAAAATAGGCTGCAGATTGACCAAAGCAGCACATACTACAAGTGCCGACTCCATCAAGTCAATCATATTCAAAGGAATTGGACCCTGTAGGATCTGGAACTCCTTGAGCCGACCTATTGCCCGTTCAACATGTATCCTAGCATTGGCTACAGTCTTTGTGTTGATATCCTCAGACTCTGTAAATTGGGATGTGCTGTTTGTTGTACGCTGAAATGGTGGGATGACAAGTCGCACCTGCTTATGCAAGAACAGTTCCTGGATGTTGAAACCTCGATCGGCCATACAAATATCACCGGGCTCGAACTTGTCTACAATGTTTGTCATCTTTACAATTTTTTTGTCTGATGTGTTGCCTCCTGTAGGTTTGGAAATGTATGAAATTGTTCCACTAGGTGTAATACCAACAAGGCACTTGAGAGTTGGTCTTGACTTATATTGGCTGTACACTTGTGAGTTGGATGCTGCCAGGGAAGGTCTATCTATTTGGATTTCAGTGCAGTCGATTATGCATCTTACAGTGCCCTTATACTTGTGAAAACATGCTGGGTAGTACTTCATAGTGCCTTCTTTGCTTGGCCAGTGGATGAAAGCAGCCAGCTCCTTTGCCAACAGTGGAATCCAAGTGGACAAAACTTGGGAGACGGAGCTTTGTCGTAATCCAAAGCGAAATGCAAGGTCGTCCTCTTGAAGATTAAGCCGAAGCTTCATGAGTGTCATGAGTAGTTGATCCTCTAGAGATTGAGATCGCTTCAATCCTGGTTTTGTTGTATTGTTTATTTGCCAGGTCTTGTCGTCTGCTGATAATTTCCCCTTATAATAATGAAGGCTCTGTGCATGAGGAGATACTTCTGCTAATAACCACTTAAACAGGTTGTAACTAGGTAAACCTGTATAAAGTTTCACAAGGTCATCACAGTTTGCTATGTCCGAAACAGTAATCTTCTTGTTAAATATTGCAATGGCAGCTTCCAGTTTTGCGATGGTGTCCTTGGCTTGCAAATACTGGCTCTTGAGCTGATCACAATTCACAGTTAATTTGTTGATTTCATCTTCTAGGTGTGCAACCCACTCCACACTAAATAACTTGTTTCTGAATGCAGGACGACAGTAATTGTGGTCGTCAGCAACAATATCTTCAAACAGAGATGGATCAACTTGAATACCTATAGACCTATGAGTTGCAGTTCTTGTCTTCGGCCTTGCTCTTGGAGTTGACATGTAAGACCGCTGAGGTGGTGGTCGTCTGGGCGTTGTCTGCACTTCATTATAGCCCTTCATGTAAAGAGTTGGATGGGGTTCATCAGAAAATGGTTGGCCATGCAGGAAATGGTTGCTGCACACCTTAGTCGTTGTTGTTACTTTAAAGCCATCCCTATGCAAGAGGCGTGTCCACGTGGCACAATATTTCTTCTTGCATGAATGAAAACGTAGCGTATTGATGTGGTCTTTCAGAATATTCCTGCAGGTAAAAATAAATTGTAATTAATAATCTTATGTTATGTTATATTATCTTATCTTAATTAATAAAAAGACAAAATGTCAAATAACAGTGTATATGGTACAGCTAACACTTTGGAGATTGACTGCCTTTAGCAAGAAGGGGAGCTTGACACTTTGTCATAAAAATCTATGAAATAAATGAAAATAGACCAGGGTTTTCTATGACTATGTTCTGTGCTCTGACAAAAACACTGTTGAATTAAAGCTGTAGAACGTCCCAAAATGAATGGAATGCCCTACCACCTACTATAAAAACTGCTCCTGATGTGGCTTCATTTAAAAATTTAATTAACAGCGGTAAAGAAAACGTGAAGAAAATTTAAGTCACCTGTACGTCTATAGACTATAGTATAGGCTAGCCACACCAAGCCATTGCATTACTAATACTACTACTAGTACAGTATTAGCTCCAAGAAACGGTATAGCTAGGGTTAGAATACCGTTATTGACGTGTATTTACGTTAGTCACACAGCTTGGTCGGGTTAGTACAGTATCAGACAAGACAAGACAAGGCAAGAGAAGCTTCCTTAAAAAGTTGTTAAAACATGTAAACAATCGATAAATAACTGATGCCAACCTTTCAGGATGCCTCCGGTCATTTTTACAACCAAAAACAGCACAATGATCGCCGCCTGGCATGATGAAAACCATATAATACTTTAATAGCAAACAACAATTTTTCTGCGTCAACAGTGTCTGCTAACCGCTCGCGCGGCGGCGGCGCTAGTAGTGCCCCCTTTTCTATCCCATGACGCATTGCGGTTCCGATTGGCGATAAGGCTTATGCATTTATAGAAATAGCCAATCATTGTCAGATTATTTAAGAAGCAAGCCAAGTCAGAGACAGTGTTGACAGTAACTGTTCAACTGAGACTGTTGTCACTTGTGATTGTGACTCACTGACTGACTGTAGCCTGTAGGCTGTAGCCCGTAGAAAAATGTCTAGATTTCTTAAAAAATTTAATAGAACTTGGTCAGAAACATTGAAATCGCGTAAACGCGAAAATATGATAACCGCGTACGCACTACATACGTCGATATGTTATTGCAGATTATAATATAAGTATAATAATAACACTATTAGTATTAACAGCAGATATTCCCAAACTCATCTTCTTAGACTGTTCTTTTTATTTCCAACTGCCGCCATCTGTGGTCTAACTTGGTACTAACGCCAAACTAATATTAATTTTAAAGATATACCGAGCTGTATTATGTATATTTTTCTTACGTACATCGTGTTTTACTTTGTCTTAATATTATGTCGTAGATCTAAAAAATAGCGACCATGTCAGGGTTCTATATTAGCCGTGTCCCGATATCCGCGTCCCGTAGATCCAGGCTCCAGCTGTTATAGAGACTGGACTGGGTCGTACCATATAGATTATATCAGGAGTGTATCAAAATTCCTGATTATAT